TCACCCCACCGCCCTGCATGGGCTGCCCAGCAACAGGACGCCTTCTATTGCTCACCCCACCACCCTGCATGGGGTGCCAGCGACAGCACACCCTCCACCACTCACCCCACCACCCTGCACAGGGTGCCAGCGACAGCACGCCCTCCACCACTCACCCCACCGCCCTGCATGGGGTGCCCAGCAACAGCACGCCCTCCACTGCTCGCCACTCCCCCACATGAGGTGCCCAGTGACAGGGGGCTGACACTGACTGATGAGAGGAGAACCATCCACGGGGACCAACACTCTTCAAATCTCATTGAAACAGTGAGGGTAAGTTTCCTCAGAGCTCCTCAAAAAATGGCAGTACTCCTGCAGGGAAGGTTTCTGTGGGCAATTTTGGGAACCACTAGATTAAACCAAGGTGCAAGGTCTCTTTGGTGTGGAATGTCTAGGTGCCTCCTTGTTACTGCCCAAGAAAAAGCACAAGACTGGTACCATCTCCCAGTCCATTTGGCTGTGGAAGCCTTTGAGGAGCTCTGTTTGGGAACCCCAGGTTAAGAAGCCTAATTCAAAATCGTTTGGTCCCTGAGTGCTGTCCTCTAACAGTATTTCACTGTGTTCTCAGTGACAGTTCCCACAGCAGCCTAGGTTCCCATTTAACAACTTCCACACAAACAGCATCGGGTTTCAGAAACTGACAGCAGGCAAGAAGTGTATGTGGATTAAGCCGATGAAAACTCTGAAATGGAACTGCAAGTATATATAGAAAAACACACACAATCACACCACTGACACATTGGGAATCAGTCAGTACCCTAAACATGCAATTACAACCTAGTTTTCTTAGAAACTTCTGGTGTAAACCTGCTCATGTTACCGTCTTTAACACTGCTCCCGAGGAAATAAATAAAGCTGTGTTTCCAAGGAAACAAGAATGAGGTACACGCTATGAAAACGAATCTACACATGAACTCTAGGCTGGAGGTACATGTCGTGCAGTGTGCCCTAACCCAAGAGCTCCCCGACTCCTCCTTGTCAGCGAAGTCTTCCTGAAATCACTCTCGAGAATGGTTCTGTTCTGGAGAGGCATGGGGTGAACTACGTGAACCGGACCCTTCTGGAATACCTTCCACCTAGAGGCACTCATCCCAGCAGTACAGTGACTTACCTTCCCAGTATTTCCAGTAATTCTGCTATGCCATTGTGATGCTCTGTTTCATAAATAAACCTAGAGAGAACAACGTGTCAGTCAGATGCAGATCTGGCTATACAGCTGGGATGAGCCAGGGTCTGGGAAAGGAAACCGTGCTTCCAGGAGGAGGATGCCATAAGCAAGCAGACAAGGAGACAGTGATAAGCACGTGTGTTTGTAGAAGCCCACCGCTCGTGGCGCGTCGGTCAGCGTGCTGCCCTGTGGTGGGTAGTGTGTTGCTGTGAGGCTGGAGGCTGTGCCACAGATGTTTCAAATCCCCGCTGGGTCACCCCTGGTGGACAGGTTTCAGCAGAGCTTCCAGACTGGGACAGACTAGGAAGAAAGACCTGGTACCTACTTCTAAAAAACTGGCCCATGCAAACTGCACGACTAGAACATGAATGACAGAGCGCCAGAAGAGGGCCCCTTGGCTCAGAAGGGCTCAGAACACGGCTGGGGAAGAGCTGCCTCCTCGGAGCAGAGTCGACTTCATGATGCGGATGGAGGAGAGCTTTCTGGGCCTTTATCTGCTGCCATGGCACAACTCAAAATGAGAAGGGGCTGCAGACACCTATTAATTATCAGGACGTGGAATGTACCAAGGATGAATCTAGGAAAACTAGAAGTTGTCAAAAATGAAATGGAATGCATAAAGATCGCTATCCTAGGCATTAGTGAGCTGAAACAAACTGGCACCGGGCACCGGGAATCAACCATCTGTCTACTCTGTCAGGAATGACAAATTGGTAAGGAATGGCATCGCACTGTCAGAAAGAACATCTCGAGATCCATCCTGAAGGACACTGCTGTCAGTGATGGACTGATATCCATACCTACAAGGAGACCCGTCAACACGACTACTGTTCAAATCTGTGCACCAACTACTAAAGCCCACGATGAAGAAAGGGAAGATTCTCACAACTTCTGCAGAGTCTGAAACTGATCAAACATGCACTCAAGATGCATGGATAATCACTGGTGACTGGAATGTGAAAGCTGCAAACAAAGAAGGATTGATAGTTGGAAAATACGGCCTTGAAGATAAAAATGATGCTGGAGATCACAGGGTGGAAATTTTACAAGACGACCTAGTTATTCGTCGTAAATACCTATTTTCAATGACATAAACAGCACTATACACATGGACCTCACTGGGCAGAATACACAGGCATCAAGTCAACTACATCTCTGTAAGGAGATGATGGAGAAGCCCAATCTCATCAGTCAGTACAAGGCCAGGGGCCAGCTGCAGAACAGACCATCAACTGCTCATACACAAGGTCAAGCTGAAGCTGGACCATGTTAAAGTAAATCTATGAGAGCCAAGTGTGACCTGAGCATATCCCACCTAACCTGAGAGACCATCTCCAGAACAGCTTTGACACACTGAACAATAACGACCCAAGATCAGGCAAGTTGTGAGATGACATCCAAGAAAGCAAAAAGGTCATTAAAAAGACAAGAAAGCAAGAAAAGACCCAAACAGAAGTCAGAAGAGACGACGAAACTTGCTCTTGAACATGGACTAAAACCAATGGAATAAATGACAAAGTCAAAGATCACAAGAGCAGACTTCAAAGGGTAGCTCAAGAAGACACACAAAGTATCACAACGGAATGTGCAAAGACTTGGAGCTGCAAAACCAAAAGGGAAGAACACGCTTGGCATTTCTCAAACTGCAAGCACTGAAGGAGAAATTCAAACCCTGAATTCTAATACTGAAGGATTCTATGGGGAAAATATTGAATGATACTCAACAAACCCAATGCCACCGAGTCGATTCTGACTCATAGCAACCCTGAATGACAGAGTATAACTGTCCCTTAGGGTTTCCAAGGACATCACCTTGATGCAAGTGAACTGCCTCATCTTTCTCTCATGGAGCAGCAGCTGACGGGTTTGAACCACTGACCTTCTGGTTAGAAGCTGTATGTTTTCATCACTGCACCACCAGAGCTTCCTGTTTGAAACCAGTTCACTACTGAATGACATAGGAAGTATCAACAGAAGATGGAGGGACACACAGGGTCACTGTACCAAAAAGAACAGCTCAACGTTCAACCACTTCAGGAGGTAGTGTGTGATCAGGACCTACGGTACTGAAAGAAGAAGACCAAGCTGCACTGGAGGCATTGCCAGGAACAGAACAAAACACAAAACCAAGTCTCTACAAATGATGGGATACCCATCCAGGTGCTTCACAGGTGGATGCAATGTTGAGAACATTCATTCATTTATACCAAAGAATTTGGAAGACAGCTACCTGGTCAAATGACTGGAAGAGATCCATCCATACTCATGCCCATTCCAAAGAAAGGTGCTCCAGTGGAATGAAGAAATTATCAAACAGTATCATTAATAGCACATGCAAGTAAAATCATGCTGAAGATCGTTCAAAAACGGCTGCAGCAGTACATAAGACAGCGAACTAGCAGCAATTCCAGAATCAGAAAAGGACGTGAAATGAGGGGTGTCACTGCTGATGTCAGATGGATCCTGGCTGAAAGCAGAAAGTACCCGAAAGATGTTTACCTGTGTTTTACTGACTATGCAAAGGCATTCAACTGTGTGGATCATAATAAATTACGGATCATGTTGAGAAGAATGGGAATCCCAGACCACTTAATTGTGTTCATGCAGAACCTGAACACAGACCAAGAGACAGCCATTTGAACAGAACAAGGGGACATTGCATGGTTTAAAATCAGGAAAGGTGTGCGTCAGGACTGTATCCTTTCCCCATACTTACTCAATCAATATGCTGAGCCAATAATCAGAAAAGCTGGGCTATACGAAGAAGAACGCAGCACCAGGATTGGAGGAGGAGTCATTAACCACCTGTGACATGCACATCACACACAATCCTGCTTCCTGAAAGTGAAGAGGACTTGAAGCCTCACTGAAGAAGAACAAAGACGACAGCCTCCGGTATGGACTACATCTCAACATAAAACAGAAATCCTCACAAACAGACCAATAAGCAACATCATGATAAACAGAGAAAAGACTGAAGTTGTCAAGGATTTAGTTGTACTTGGATCCACAATCAACACTCACGGAAGCAATGGTCAAGATATCAAACGACACACTGCATTGGGCAAATCTGTTGCAAAAGACCTTTTGAAAGTGTTAAAAAGCAAAGATGTCACTTTGAGGACTACGGTGTGCCCTGACCCAAGCCGTGGTCTTTCAATTTCCTCATATGCACGTGAAAGCTGGAGACGAACACGGACGCTGAAGAAGAGTTGACGCATCTGAGTATTCTGTGCGCCACCAGAAGGAAGAACAAAGCTGTCTTGGAGAAAGCACAGCCGGAATGCTCTGTAGAGCCGAGGTGGCTGGACCTGGTCTCAGGTGCTCTGCACACGTTGTCGGGAGGAGGCGGCCCTCGCAGAAGGACGGCAGGCTTGGTAAAGGAGGGGGTCAGCAAGTAAGAGGAAGGCCCTCGAGGAGATGGACTGACACTGGGTGTGACGTGGCTGCGGCAATGGCTGAGGACGGGGCGGGACTGGGCAGTGTTTGTATGTAGGCTGCTATGACTCAGAACCAACTGGAGGGCACCTAGTAACCAACGGGGGAGCTGGGCAAGTGAGGCGGCCACCACCGCTGTTCAGGAGGCTGACAGCCAGCAAGAGGAGCTGGTGCGGCAATCCCGGGACGCTGGGGGTCTTGGCATGCCTTTCTCTCTGTCACCTACCTCCTTCCCCTTACATGGTCATGGCAGGCAGGTAACAAAGGCAGGGAGTCTACTGTCCCTGTGTACAGGGACATGGAGGCTGTAAGGGACATGTGGAAGCCAGACTATGTGGAGCCTGCTGTTTTGGCTTCACAGGGCACACTGTCACGCTGTCCTGTCACTGTGGTCTGCCACCCCTTGGTGCCTTGGGGAGGCAGGAGCCTTCGGGCTAGTGCAGAGAACACTGTTGGTGGGGAGCAGCCCCCGGGGCCCACAGGATGGACACGATTACTTTCACCTGTCGACACTGGTTCAAGGGCCCACCACGGGCTGGGCACCAAGCTGCTCCTGGGTCATGGCATGAAACAGTCAATAGGACCTCCGCCCTCTGGGTACTGACCCCACTCACAAGCCCAGAAAGCGTTTTAATGACAGGATGTTTCTGGAGGCCCAGGAGGCAGAGGAGAAGGGATGGTGGCAGCAGCAGCCAACACCCTGGGGCAGCCAGAGCCCTGAGGCCAGCAGAGGCCTGCACGGCCCTGGTGGGGCCCCGAGGGCCCTGCCAAGGACCATGTCTGTTCATCTAAGGGCAGCAGGAGGGGGAGGGGTCAGTGGGTCAGAGACAAGTTAAGATTGAGCCCAGAGACTTGGTCAGGAATAGCGTTTTCAGGGACAGGGGAGGCGTGAGAGAATGGGGGTCAAGGTAAATACTACACTTGGAATGTTGTGCAAGGTTCTGTGAGCTGTGGGGCTTGGACCACCTCTGCAGTCAGCTCCCAGGACACCAACTCTTGCTCTGTGGCCTGCTCACACACATGGCACTGGGCGTGCAGCCCCTACCTCCTACGCCGGACCAGGCAGTGAGCACCGCCACACCCCTCAGGGCTCTCCCAGTCTCCAGTGTGAGTTCTGAGATCTTCTGAGACTTCCTAACGGTCCCATCCCCCCGCACCTGCTCCTTCGTTCACTGGGGACACACAGGTGAAAGGAGAAAGTGGGCTTTGGACAGAATCCATCCTTCAGTTTCAGAGAGAACCACAGTGAAGTTAGCGAGGCGTCTCAGCAGCCACCGGAGACAAGGACAGGCGTGTGGTGAGGAGATGACCCCCGGAGAGCAGCTCAGGGAAGGGAGGGAGATAGGAAGGAGGGGTAACAGGCCCCCCCCGGTCTGGCACTGAGAGGTATGTGTCAAGGGGGGGGGTCCTCCAGACATGATAATGACGCTGCCTGAGAAAACACTGACCCACTGCCATCGAGTGGCTCCTGACTCATAGGTGCCCCTAGAGGACAGAGCAGAACTGTCCCAGAGGGTTTCCAAAGCTGTCATCTTTATAGGAGGAGACCGCCACGTCTTTCTCCAGCAGAGCACCTAGTAGGTTGGAACCACTCAATTCTTGGTTTGTGGAGGAGGACTTAACCATCACACTACCAGGGCTCCTTCAAGAAAACATTATGGGTCCTTAAGTGGCATCAAAGAAAACGATGAGGTGGTGGAGGGGGTGGGTGGGTGAGTATTAGCTGTTAAAAGGAGCATCGCCCCACGAGAAGGCAAAGGCCCCCCGCATGCTGACTTACCTATAAAATATATTATTTATCTGCTTTCTGATGTAAGCTCTTAAGCCTAAGAATTTCCCATAGATCCTGTGAAGGGTGGTCTTGAGAAAGTCTCTCTCCCGCGGGTCTTCACTGTCAAAGAGCTCTAAAAGCTTCAAGAAGGAAAGGACATTCAGTGGCTCTGTAGGTCTGCTCGGCAGGCTTTCAAATGCTAACTAATTTGTACTTTACCTGTAATACAAACTTCTGATCAATATATTTCTTCGCTATATTAGGCTGGAAATCTGGAGACTCTAAAAATCTTAAGAAAAATTCATAAACAAGCTGGGAGGAAAAGGGAAAAAAAAAAAAAAAGAGTCAAATTACATGGTATTTTATTAAATGGGAATTAAAATCAACCCCAAATTGAATCTTTATTTCAAACATTAGCCTTTTTAAAAAAGCCATCAATCTATAGAATTAAAGCTAAACCACATGACTTAATTCAGTTGTAACTAATAATAATTACCGTAATTACTTCATTTCACTAAGACCCACAGACTGTACCTTTAACTGGCATTTAAATAAAAGGATTTTCCCGGGAGACGTCACCAGTGCTAACCTGAGCCGCTGGGAGACAAGTGCATGTGGCCACAAACAGGGCTGTAACCTGACACTGGGTGGGACCTGCAGCCTGGTACCTGCCAGTGTCCCAGAGTGGGTGGCTCAGAGGGCACCGAGAGGAGGCTGGGACTGCCAGACAGAAGGTGAGCAGGATACAAACCAGCACCCCAATCACCTGGAAGGAGTGAGACCAGCACCCCTGCCCCCCAGCCTCAGTAATGTGTGAGGTCAGGAATTTTCGCATGCCTGACATGTTCTGCAGCGACATCCAAATGGAGCGGGGAAGTTTTACTACCGAGACACCCTCCTCTCAGGGCTGACCCAGTCCACCACTCAAGCACAATGGCATGCGTGTCCCCACTGCCCGTGTGCCTCTGCACCGACGTCCTAACCAGCCAGCCTGCCTGGCCCTGGACGGCCTGACGGGTGTCAAGAAAGGCACCTGCTGGCCACGAGTCTGGGCAGCCTCACAGGCATCCATTATCTAAGTGCTGAAAACTGGGAGAAGACACCACCGAAGTCCTCTGGGCCTGGATTCAAGGGCTGCAACGAAAACATGTGGGCAACTCCACATCTTAGAAACTTGTGTGAAGTGTTCAAGCAAATATACACGTGAAAACCATGGACTCTCTCTTCTGCCAAAACCCTTTCCTTGTATTTACGGGTTTGCAAGGCCTACGGCCACCAGAGACAGGATGTCCATGGGACTGGCTGCATGGAGGGTTGAAGACCCACGTGCCTGCCCACAAGCCCACACGCTTCACGCCTGAGTGTACCTGTAGGTGAGGCCAGGCCGCTTCTAACGTCGGCTCGTCTTCCTCTGGGTCAAACTCTGCTCCCGTAGGATTGGAGGACGGTGGTAGCGTTCGGAACATGTTTACTGCAAACTGAGAGCCACAGATCCTACAGTCACCATCGGGACACTTAAAGGGGCACAGAGAGCACTGTAAAGGGCCTAAGGGATATGAATGACTGTTGGTTAAGGCACTTGGCTGCTAACCAAAAGGTCAGTGGTTCAAACCCACCAGCTGCTCTATGGGAGAAAGACAAGGCAGCCTAGGAGACCCTATGAGGCAGTTCTACTCTGTCCTATAGGGTCACGGAGTCAGAACTGACTGGATGGCAGTGGGTTTAATGATCGCCGTGTCATGTGCTTTCCAAGTTCAGACGTGGCAGGGGCCCCGAGAGTGATTCCGGGTCACAATTGCAGCAGCAGCAGCCCCTCTGCCTGACCTCCACAGCCGGCCAGCACCACACAGGCAGCGGGCAGTGGTGACTGCTGGCGACTGTTACACTCAGCACGTGCTAGCAAGACAAGGGTGCGATATGACGGAAACAGCCGAGATTGAGGGGGGACTCGGGGGACATGGAGGCTGACGTCCTGCACAATCACCCATGAGGACGGAACGCACCGGGCAGGACAAGGCAGCTCTGAGTGCCTATGCTGCTGCAAGCGGCCTGTGAGCTGGTCCCTGTACAACAGGAGCAGACCGCTGTGACCCGCTGGCTTTGCACCGGCTGAGTGTCAGAAGCCGATCACCAGGCCTTTCTTCCTACTGTCTGAGGGCAGGCACTCTGCTGACACTGGCTCAGCATCGTAGCCACACGCGAGCCCCCACTGACGGACGGGCCCCTGGGCTGAACTGAACCTGGGTCTCCCACACGGAAGGCAAGAATTCGACCACAGAACCCCCATCTGCCCAGAGTTTCCACAGAGAGCACTGCCTATCAGCAAGGAGCAAACCTACGGGTCGAGAGCCTGGATACGTGCCCAGGGGGTGGGGGGTTCAGGAGCCCGTGTGGACATACGAGGGAATGGCGTGGAAGGTGGCCTTTGTCTGCAGTCTGGATGTTCTTTCATTCAGCTCATTCCCATCTCCTCTGTCTCCCCTCACGCTGCCCTCACCACCCCCACCCCAGCTCCTTTTATTTTCGACTTCACAAACGTCCACGTGTTTTAGGACAGATGTTTTCCACATAAAGTCGAGATTGTCTGGAGCAAAGCGAGATCTCAATGCCCACACGGTTAAGAGGAGAAGTTAGATCTTGGGGGAAAATGCGTATCAACCCATCAGTGATTAAATATAAAACAGCTGAGTTTTTTTCTGTATCATCAATTTATAACCAACGTTTCTCTTGCCCTAAGTTTAAATACAACCAGTTCTCATAAGCTGCCAGTTACAGAGCTGCGCTCTGGTCGCTGACTCACAGATGTGTGCCCACCACTCACCAAAGCACAAGATCAAAAACATCTGCTGTGGACAACGAACCCCCCGCCTAACAACTATTAAACGCTACGTCCAAAAAACCCAAACCCACTGCCGCTGCATAGATTCCGACTCACAGCACCCCGAGAGGACGGAGTGGAACTGCCCCACAGGTTCCCAAGGCTGTCATCTTTACAGAAGCAGACTGCCTCATCTTTTTCTCATGGAATGGCTGGTGGGTTCAAACTGCCAACCTCTTGGTTAGCAGCCCAACGCTTAACCCCTGAGCCACCAGGGCCCTTCAGATACTACGAGAGTGTGTCCAAGGCAAACAGGGCCAAGCCGCCCAGCGAGGGGAGCAGGTGAGATTCTGAGAGTGCTTCAGACTGAAACTTTAAACTAGACTGTACTTCTATCAGACAATGAAAAACAGAAGCAATCTGCCTGCTATGTATTTAAGAGGTGGAAAAAGTAGAGGGGGTCGTGGTTAAATGCTCTGCTGTTGTAGTGGGTAAGACACTCGACTGCCAACTGGAAGGTCAGCGGTTCAAACCCACCAGCTGCTCTGTAGAAGGGAGACTGGGCAATACACATCCGTAAAGATTTATAGCCTTGGAAACCCAATGGGGTTCACTACAAATCGGAACAACTCGATGGCAGTAAGTTGTTTTTTTTTTTTTTTTGTTTGGTTAAACGTAGTCATTGAAGAGATAAAAACGTACCCCAGTTTGGACTCCTTAATAAACTGGTTACAGCCCGCTACTAGTCCAGGTACTCCCTATAACTTCAGGTCGAAGGCCTCCTGCACAGGTCTTGTCTGTTAAGCTATGGGTGCACCTCACGCCCTGTGTGGTCACTGAAGCTGAGAAGCCGACCGAGCCACCAGGCAGCTCCTGATGCAGACCCCCCTTCAGCACCCCTGAACCAGGAAGTTCCGTTACTGTTGACCTAAGCGAGGAAAAGCTGTCTCTCGCCACAAGAACACCTCATCTGTAACTTCTGTCCTGTCCTTTCCTACCAGGCAGCAGTGTGCAGACTTAGCACTCACTTTGAGAAAAGGTGAAATAGCCTAAAAAGTGACGTTTGAAAAGACAGCAGAGGGCAAACGGTGTGGCGCCTCACTCTAGTCTAACCCAGCCATGCTTCCTGACACAGCCGCTTCCAGGGTGAGGCGAGCTGACAGCACTGGTGTGTGACCCTGTGGTCCCGACGTCACCTGCAGGGGGCACTGCGCCTGGAGGTCCCTGAGTGCTACCTGAGGGCAAAGGGTGTGGTCTCAGGAGCCACAGAGGGCGCCCTTCTGTCAACACCAAGCCACGGAAATCAGGGGGTGCTGCATCTACTGGTCTAAACCTCAGGTCCCTCTTGGGTCAAACCAACTCACTGCCATCGCTCCACTGAAGTACGGGGACTGAGTGCACGGGGAGTGACTTGGAGCCTGTGACACAGACCGTGGCAGGCAGCACGACGCTGTGGGAGGGACCCCGCGTCCTCGGAGACTGGAGGCCTGCTCGGCCTTGGTTTTCTCACCCGGGGAAAGGAGTGAACCCTTCTCTGCACTGGGCTACTGGGAGGACCACATGAAACGTGCAGACGCACTTTTTAAATGGAAACCAATGGTCCATGAACAGTTACCGTTCCCCAGCAGTTTCCAAGTATGTGCTGGCGCCTCTCCAGCGGTCGTGCCTGTGTGTGTGCGTCCAGCCTGCAAGGCTGGCTGCGGCGGCTGGACGCCTCTCGATGCCCTGACACCCACACGCATGGCTCTTCAACCAGCCCTGAGACGTCCTTCTCTGAGCACAGATGCTGCTGACTTAGTTGCAAACCAAACACCGAGAAGCAACTCCCTGGAAATTCTTCAGGGGCTTCCCCCCTCGTAAACATGGCTGCCGTGAGGGGAGCTGATTCGAGGGAAACTAACAACGGCTACTGTCACCACCATGAGCCTTCCTATGCCTGGGACGTTTGTCATTTGTAGGGAAGCAGTCAAATACCCACGCCGGGACAGTGCAGCATGAGGAGACGTGAAGACAGGAAGAGAGAACCCAAACCAACCACTGCCATGGAGCCAATTCCAACTCACAGCACCCCAGGGACAGGTGGAACTGCCCCCGTGTTTCCAAGGTTGGAATCTTTACGGAAGCCGGCGGCCTCGTCTTTCTCTCATGGAGCGGCTGGTGAGTTCAAACAGCTGAACTGCTGGTTAGCAGCTGAGCGCTTCACCACTGCGCCAGCAGCGCTGTATGAAGAGACACACTCCAAAAATGAACCAGAAACAAGGGGTCAGAGGCAGCGAAGAAAGGGTCCGACTATTCACGCTCTCTGTTCAAAGCCCCAAGCGTAGGTCTGCCTCCCCAGCGAGCCCTGTGCTTTCCTCGTGTGTGTCTAACACCAGGGGAACCCTGGAGTGGGGGCCTCAGCTTCCAGAGTCACACCGCTCAGAGGGTACACTGGGGGCGGGGTGCAGCACCAGCAACATTTTCTAAAACACAAAACTGTCATTTCTTTGAGGATGACGTAATTTACCTGGAAAAATCAAAAGAGGGAACTGACAAGCGACCACCGCTGAGCCTCCAATACAAACCCCAAATAGAGAGAGGAACGGTGACAACCTCCCTAGCAACAATACGCACCTACAAAAAACAGACAGGAAGACCCCGTGAACACAGCCACCTAAACTGCGCAGTGCTCATGGGCTGACAACCAATGCACGAGGCCGAAATGGAGGCACCATGCAAATGTGATTCAAGGGCCCTGGAGAGGCTCCAGACGAGGACGAACCGCCCAGTCTCCCGTGTGGACGACTTCCCAGTGGAAGGGGGGGGATGCCCCACGATCCGTCCATCTGTAAATGAAGGTAACCTTAAACATAACTCTGATCCGATTTTCGGGCACACCCTACGAGTTTAAAATGAACGTGGAAGAAGAGAAGTCCTGGGGCAAAGTTGGAGGGGACGCTGCCCCTCCTCATCCGAAGACTCAGCTTCCAGGCCCCCCGAGTCACTGAGGCCCTGGGCCTTGTACTGTGCGGGTCCCTAGTAGGCCCTCACCCCGTGGGAAAAACGCCTCCCAGTCACCTGACTGCCTGCAGCCCCAAGCAACCGTCAGAACCTGTGGAAACTCTCCGACTGCACCTTTCCATCCGCTGCGGTGTCCTCTGGCCAGAGACGCCCACGCCCTCCCTCACCCTTGTCCCAGGCGGGTCCCGGGGCTCAGCCCCCCGGCACACGGAGCAAACTCTCCACCAGCTCAGCGGTGCGCTCAGGGCGTGGGTGGATTCAGCCTTCTTGCTCTCGCTCTTTCTAGCCAAGAGCCGCTTTCAAAGAATGCATCCTCCTGAGAGCCGCCAAGAGCTACATGGAAAAGCAAGTTAAACCCTTATTTTTGAACAGCTCACTATTTCCACACTCCAACATGTTCTTCGATAACAGTTCAGGGTCTCACGAAATCAAGACCCACGAGTCTTTGGAGTGCAGCTAACAGATGAACCCAGCCTCGATTTTTCAAGCTGTGAATACTTCAGTCTTACGACTATTTCACAACTCAATGACAATCCTATCTGGCTTCAGAGAGGTCTGAACATACCCTAGTTGTTTATAATTATATGTATGACTTTATTTTAAGAACGGAAAACTTGTATGTGACAGGTGGTACTTTACAATAATTATAATTTAATTTGT